TAGAATTACTGAATCGCCCAAATTGAGAACTGTGGCAGTTGATGGAATAGTACTGACAGATAAATTACCTACACAATGAAAATGAATCAATGTATTAAGCACATGAGTGACTGACCATTAAGAATTGTATAGGCACTGCTTGATCCAGCATCATTTGTAACATTACAATAATATCTTGCAGTTAGTTCAATAGAATTGATTTCAACTTCAAGTTGATTCATTAGTCCAACACTAATATTTCTACTCTCTGCTACTCTATACCATGCATACTGATTGTTAGGTCCACCTCTACTGGTACAATTAAAAGCAACAGTGTCACCAAAATATGCTGTTACAGAAGAAGGATTAACTTGCACACTTCCGTATGGAGAGACTAAAAATATAATAATAAAGTAATCATTAAAATACTCAATTACCTGTCAGTGTTGCAGTAGATGATATAGCATGATAGTCCATTAGCGTCACATTAGAATTATCAAATAAAACATAAACATCATTTGAGGTAAGAGTAGCAATACAAACATAGTATCCAAAGTCATCATAATCTACTGATTGGAGTGTTAGTACTGATGATACTTCATTCACATTAATGGATGAGTCATTGGTAATATTATAAGGAAGATCTATTGTTACACTGTCTATTCCTACCAATGTTGTTAAATCATTCTCTACACTGATTCTTCTCCACTCTATTGATGGAAACGGATAACCGGTTGCATTGCATATAAACTTTATTGAATCGTTAACTAATGTACCAAGAGCAGGTAATGGGTTTGCTACAATCACTGGAGTCAAGGCAATGAGTGTTCTCTGAGACTCAATAGTTAAAGATAACGTTTCAGAAGAAACTTGACAGTGATACTCTCCGCTATCATCCACCTGATCTGATGACGTGTAGGTGATCTCAATAAAAGATTCGTTTACATCTATTACTATGCCATCAAGAAGCCAGGTGTAGCTCAGATCATTAATTTCAAGATTACTATTTGCTAGACACGTTACATTCACTGTGTCCCTGTATTCAAGGACAGTTACAGGTAGTGGAGAGATATTGACAGTTAAGACACCTATGGAAAAGTACATTAGCTATCATAACAAACAGACTAAAATAATAATTATGAGTTATTAATATAATTAATCAGTACACTATGTGTCTTTTAGTACATACCATCAGGAAAAGCATGCTAAGTGAGCTAAATAGCATACTTCATGAGCTGACAAGCACTACAATACAGTACTAGCATTTTGAGCAGCTTTAAAAATTTATAAAAAATCTAATTTCGATTGGAATCAGCTAAAACTTGCTATACAACATGAGAACATATATATGTATCAAAAAAATTATAAAAATAGAGAATTCTCTCCTTGTCATTTTTGGCGAAATTGACCTAAAACCAAGGCTATAGCCTTTGGTTGTTTGCCCAAATTTTGAGAAATTTTAAAAATTCATAAAAAATTCAAATTTGATTGGAATCAGCTCAAACTTGATAAATAACACAAAAACATGTATATGTATCAGAAAAAATTATAAAAATGGAGAATTCTCTCCTAGTCATTTTTGGCGAAATTGGCCTGAAACCAAGGCTATAGCCTTTGGTTGTTTGCCCAAATTTTGAGAAATTTTTAAAAATTCATAAAAAATTCAAATTTGATTGGAATCAGCTCAAACTTGATAAATAACACAAAAACATGTATATGTATCAGAAAAAATTATAAAAATGGAGAATTCTCTCCTAGTCATTTTTGGCGAAATTGGCCTGAAACCAAGGCTATAGCCTTTGGTTGTTTGCCCAAATTTTGAGAAATTTTTAAAAATTCATAAAAAATTCAAATTCAATTGGAATCAGCTCAAACTTGATAAATAACACAAAAACATGTATATGTATCAGAAAAAATTATAAAAATGAAGAATTTTTTTTAATGATTTTTTGCCAAAATAACCTGTACTATAGTACAGAATCTTTGGCCCAATTTTTGAGCAACTTGACAATCCACTGACAAAAGGCTGCATGAGCACTATGTCAAAATCCTGTGGGAAGTACTGAGCATCATATATTATTTTTAAAAATGAAAATTGCCGCCATCCATAACAACATTTCAATTCACTTACCAATCAAGAGGGCACTGGTGTCTTGAGTGGTTCCAATACTATTGTTCACTGAGCATGAGTATGTCCCATTATCAGCTGTAGTCGTGCTAGTAATTGTAAGGACTGAATGAGTGCCATTAGTGTATATATTATAAGTCTCGTGAGAGAGACTCTGGCCATCCTTGAACCAAGACACGTTGCTGGATATATCACTTGAATATAAACACTCGAACCTAGCTTCATTGCCATATCCAACAATAAGCTCCATTGGATATAATGTCACTATTGGTACATCTAATGAAAGAAAGAAATAATTAGCTAGATATTAATTGTGAATTCGGTAGGGCCTACCGGAAACAGTCACATTGAAGCTTTCGCAGCTAGTAGCAATGGTGTCCTGATTACTGTGATAAATTAAACTCGTACACTTGTATGTGTCTTCATTGTCATCTAAACTGATACCATTAATAGTCAATATCCCGTAATAATAATCCGACGCTCTCTGAACAGGACCAACAATGTACGTGCTATCGTTTGTTAATGTTACGTTGTCGTGAGACCAAGTGATGACTAAATTCTTATTTTCAAAACTGAGATCCACCCTACAGAGAAGATGTACATTCGTTCCAGCAGCAAACGCTCCCTCATGTAAGGGATAACCCGTTATCGATACGTTTGGAATTATTACTACGGATGAAATTATGCACAGACAATTAATAACAATTAAGAATATAATTAACTTACATGGGACATCTAATTCATACTCTGTGGAATTCCTGGCATGATCAAATGAGTAGGAGGTGACATTGTACTCTGCCACACAAGAATAAACACCATTATAATCGTATAGTACAGGGTTCAGACTCAATGTCACGTTAATAAGAGATTCAGTCAATGATGATGTCCTAGTTTCAGGTAAACTCCCGCTGATGGGAAGGCTCCACAACACAGTAGGGACTATTATTAGACTCTCTGGGTACGTCACTGTACAAGTGATGTTCAAGGAGTCGCCTTCTGCTGGTGCGTCAAGTGAGTAGGTTATCTCAAGGACAAGCTCTGGTAAATCTAAACAAGACAATTAATAAATTATCGCAAGTGCAAGACTTTTAACAGACACTTAAAATTGAATTTAAAACTAAAAAATAATACCTTCAATAACTAAAGAATCACTAGTAGTTACATAGCTAGCTGAATTGACATTCACGTTATTTGGAATGACCTGAACTTGACAGGTATATTGACCAGCATCAGTTTGCATTGAGTTACTATCTCCATTATCAATTGGATTAAAGATGAGTGTCTCATTCCTTGGTCCAACATAAAATGATATTCTATCGTCATAGTGTATGGTACTTCCATATGGATTCCGCCATACGTAGCTGAGAGACACAGGTGTGTCCACACTGCTAGGAAGAGTAACCTCACATGTTAACGAGAAGAGAGAACTTTCATAAATGGAGTCATTGTGTCTCGGAATAATGTCAAGTGTTGAAGGAGCAACTGATAAATACAAGCATTAATAATACTAGGAGCTGCGAATAAAATAACTTACGATTCATTGAGAGGTTAGTGAATGCATGAGCAGTCACACCCAATGTATTAAAAGCAATGACACAATAGTAGGTAGTAGCATCAGATGTGTTAATATTACTCAGGGCCACTTTGGTAAAATATACAAGATCCTCTTCAGTGTAGCCTTCTTGAGTGCTATCCACTGCATTGCTCCCATTCATACTGTATGCCAGCCTCACAAAGTCTGGCATGACATAGAATCTTTCAGGAACATTGATTTGACAGGAGATGTTAACGGTGCCTCCAGAGGTGGGCACAGAAGGAAGTTTAGTTATATCGAAACTAACATGACCAGATGAAAAGGCTATAAAATGCAATAGATTAGTCATCATGTATATAGACAAACACGCATACCTTGTACTTGGAGAGTAATCTGAATGCTGTCAGAATTATTTATTAAGTAAGGACTGCTTGATACCGGATTGACGTATGCCACACACGAATACACAGCATTGTTATCCTGCGTCCCAAGACTTAAAATGTTCAGCGTACTTGATAGTGTAGAGTTGGTGATATTATATGCAGAATTGTAGATAGAAATACTAGCCCCATTACGTAGCCATTCAAACACTACAGCCAGTTCATCAGGATTAAATATAGTATAGTCAATGACAGCACTGCATGTGAATAAAGGGCTCGTTGCCGACACTAACTGGCTGTAATTTGATGGGTCAGTACTCAGTGAAAGCAAAGGAAATGGAGCTAAAAGTATACAAAATAAACTAATATAAAATTAGTTAATGACTCACTTTGTAATGTCACATAGATCACTGCAGTAGCTGATCTGCTAGTATAGTAGCTCCTAGCAGTACATGTATACTGACCAATATCATCAATATTAACAGAGGAAATGGTCAGGATGCTGATTGTAGTATTGCTACTAGTGATAGAGTGTTTGCATGATGGATAGATGAGGTCTCCCCCTTTGTACCAGTCTGTTATGTAGACTGGTGGTCCAGTGGTGGAGCAAATAATCTGAATCATTCCTACGCTGCTGTATGTATGGGACTCAATCGCAACAGTTAATTCTCTGTCATCACCTATAATAATAATAATAATAATAATAATAAATAATAATAATAATAAATAATGATGATAATAATAATGATAATACCCTGTGCTACAGTAGAGGGTCTTAGGCCAAATTTTGCCAAAAATGGCCAAGAAAAATTTTTCCAATCTTATTACATTTTCTGATGCATATACATGTACTTATGTTGTGCATCAAGTTTGAGATGATTCCGATCAAAATTGGATTTATTATGAATTTTTAAAGTGGCTCTAAAATGTCACAAAAATACATGCATACTTACCAGTTATCAAAAGATTCATGCCTAAACTCTGCCCATAACTAACTGCAAAATCAAACCCATATATCCAGGCAGTGTATACAGTATTTGATCCATATGCTACAGATAAGGTCCTGTTTTCAGCGCTGCTATTGAGCTGGAGTGCATAGCCCAGTAAGGAGCCAGTAGTGTCATAAACTGAGGATGCATCAGTTATAGATGCGTTGTCTAGAAAAACATCACCGGGTTGACCAAGAAGAGCAATGTTAATGTAGTTACTAGTGAAATTGTCACTGAATGGAGCAAAATAGTGCGTGGCATTTGAGTATTGTTTGGTAGGTGGTACGAGCATCATGAATGGATCTCCATTGGAATCATCATCACCTTCACTTGAGGCATCTATTGTCACCAGGACAGGATTATCAGATATGATACTGCACACGAGGTCATCTGGAGATATCAAATAAGTAATGAAGTCACCGGTAGTATTCAAACTGGATACGTCAGTGGTATTAGCATTAGTGCTTATCGACGTACAGCGAAGAGTTGCTTCAGTATTATTCTCAGCTGCTAGTATAGTTATGAAGGCTCCGCCAGTTTGAGAAGAAAGGAGAGGAAATATAAACGTCTTACCCCAGTTTAGGGTAGGAGGAAGTTGCTCAATAATAATATCACAGGACCTATTGGTGGCATCGGAAGGAATAAGAGCACATTGGTGTCCAGAGAGAAATGTTACTGGTTTAGTGGTAGTAAACTTTGATCCAGAGAGACTCATTTCACTCTCTAGCAGTAAAGTCTGGAACCTGTTCAGTTGAATTGTCAGAGACTCGTTTGACGACAGCTCATACTCTAAACCAGTTGGCGAGAGATCAGGAGGTATATAAACAGTCTCCTTTGGCTTGATAGTGATGTTTGTATCGTTATATCCACCCACAAGGAGCACCCTATTCTGTAGGAGGCTAGAGTCAGTCTCTGGAGTGATAGCGTAATATACATACTCAGTTACGCCTGAGTACTGATACAGTGGCAGTGCAAGATAGGAGTCACTTGAGAACTGGTCATAATTACTGACTGATACACTAATAGTCCTACCACTCTCAGCTTTCACTATTACTCCTTTATACCTCTCGCTGTTATTAGTGACTAGGTATGTATCGGGTAGGACAATGCTCAGTATGTCAGTAGGATTAATGGTTTCTGTGGCTGCTATACCAGCCTGAGTTTCAACAGTCACTGTGAATGGGCTGGTCTCTCTTGTAGCCACTGATATGAGGAGAGGAGTGTACTCTGCGTCAGGATGATTATCAAAGAGGCCAATGACAAATTCTTCAGCCTGAGTGTCAATAGGATCTGATCCTAAAATAAATGATATGTAACTGATAGTTGAGATAAGGACAAAATAATCTTTGCTATGAATAATTATACATAATTCTATACATCATAGCACACATTATATATTTCTTCTACATGTCATTTACTAGTATTCACCTTTGTCAAGCTCAATTGCAGACACTCCAAGAGATACTTCTGTTGCTTGCACAACTTCTATAGATATATACAGTACATTCCTCTCGTCTTCATTCTTATATAATTGACTTGCATTCAATAGTAAATTAGCTGTACTATTCGTTTTCACACTATTGCAATGAAACGCTGCCGATGGCTCAATGAGATTAGACACATATAACTGAGTGTCTCCATTCACAGAGAGAACCAACTGAAGTATGGATGTAGCATTGGAGGCCATCACTTTAAAGTAAGAGGTGGTCGTAATGGTGCTCTTGTAATACATTCCAAACTCCAGAGAATCTATATTGTCTACACAAAAGCCATATTTTAACAAAAATATTTATTATCTAAATAAAGTCACTGCTGAACTATTTTATTGTGGGCATTAGCACGCATTGTGGAGTGTAGCATCTATAAGAAGGGTCTGGCTACGCAAAATTTGCTCAGGCACACATAATTATGATGACTGAATGATGAAATGCTAAATTGGAATTCATAATATAAACTACATCTATATAACACACAAAATATCAATTATGCTTCAGCTTACTGTATCGATAGTCTGTCAAACCCACAGTATCATTGATGTATTTCTCTGCATTTCCCCCATAGCTGTCAGCCCAGAGCATTGCTTGAGATGAGGTACTGCTCAAATCATATCCACCAGCTAGCTGATTAATGAGGAGTCTAGCAGCTAGCCCCGAGTACAGTGGCACACTTAAATCACTCCATGTCACAGAGGACCACTCAATCCCAAAGTATGCTCTAATCCCAGTAGCATTAACTTCCACCAGAGAAGCAAACCCGGTTTCATTGACGGCCCAAATCCCACCACCTCCGCTTGCTTCAGAGGCGCCATCTCTTGTCTCCACATGAGCAATCCTTCTTAGGATCTGGTGGTCATCCACGAATAAATCCGAATCTTCAATGAGTCGGATTGTTGCAAGTACAACGTCCGTTCCGTTGGCTCCAGAAACAATTGTCAGGTCAGTGCAGGAGGCACAGGACGAGGCCGCGGCAGAGTTTGCTGTAGCTGAAAGGCAGCATAACAGCAGAACTACCAGCAACATGGCAAAGAATAGCAAAATGAAGCCAAAATGGTCATTTCGAGATTTTATACAGAAATACGAAAACCACGCCTACATTAATTGACAGATAGTAGATCTTGACCATTTTTTCCTCAAATATAATAGATTCTACTTTATATATTCAATTATGCATGCTACATGTGTATGTGCACTGTGCAGACAAAAAAGAATTTTCATGGGCTTGCTCTTGCTCTAATCAATCAAAGTAGTCCTCAATATCTATAGATGGGTCAAGCAAATTCTCTCCATATCTTGTCAAATCCATCCGATTGAGAATAAGATTCTCAAACGTTTCCTAAATATAACAAAAAATAATATTAAAAAAATAGTAATAACCAAAACTAAAACACAGAGCACCTTGTAAAAATAGCCGCAAAATAGAGCAGGATAGAATATTCAAAACATGGCGTGCGTGGCATGTGCAGAAGTAATAAAGTTATCGGTCTAAAACAACAATTTATAAAAGTTTTCTAGCCTGAATAGTTTCAGTATGAAAATGTACATACATAAATCAACAAACAAAAAACGACAGGCAACAGCTAAAATAATCACATTTTGAATCAACGGAAAATTAAGCTATGACACAACATTCTACTATAATAGCATTGCAAGTCTGCAAGTTACAAAACTCCTTTTATTGGTAAATTGGCTCAACTTATACTTAAAATTGTAACTAAAGATGGTAAAATAGAAGGGAATGGTTATAATCCATAGCTATACACGTGTACATGCACACTAATAGATGTTCTCCTTGCCTCCAGGTCAGTGTCACCGATGAGAATAGCACCGACCATTCTCCCATGCTGCAATATGACTTTAACATATTCAACGCCTGCAAAAAATATGAAATAACAATAATTAGTGAAAAATTTCCCAAAAAGGAAGCACTTAATATAAGCATAATCACTAATCAAGCAATTACTATTGTACGGCAGGCAAAGTTATCGTAAATACATAAATAGAACTAACAAAATAGTTATGCCTATTTATATGCTAATGATGCGTTCATTCTTTACTACAAATGGCACTGCTGAAATGTCTAACTAGGAGAAAATTCTCCATTTTTATAATTTTTTCTGATACACATACATGTTCTTATGCTGTGTATCAACTTTGAGCTGATTCTTATAAAATTTGGATTTTTTAATGAATTTTTAAAGCTGCTCAAATTTGGTCGAAATAGAAACTTTAAAAGTTGCTTCAAAAACTGGTTCATGACACATTAATTCATCATTCATTTTACCATTAGTTATTCTTAATAATAGTTCATAATCTTTACCAAGTCCCTGAGCATTGTAGCAACCAAGCAAAACAACCTAAATGTATATAAAAATAATAAAATAAAACTAAAAATATTATGAGTGAACAAAGACAAATACAACACAGCACATCACAGAGGAATGACGTAGTAATAATTTCTATAGTGTCACGCTAGCATATCATATTCCATGAAACCATGGATGTACATGTACATGTACATACAGACACACAGTACATATAGACGAAACCGAACATGCTAACCTTATATCCAAAAAAGGTTGTCACGTGAGCAAACAGCTCAAAACAGAAATCAAGTGTAATGGACTCACCTCCTATTTAAAGTTCAAAAAAAATTATGTCAGTGCGTGTGTGTGTGTGTGAGCAAGCTCTTGGTGTGACTTTAAAAGCATATTTGTCATATAATAGTATAAGAAAACAGTTTCTTTGTTATGATAGCATTTATTACATCTTACGCCACAAATTAGTCCACTACTAAACTACATGTAATTCTCTCCAAAGAAAGCAGTCTCCATGTATTGCGTTACAAGTGCTATTTATACTACAGTATCCCCCACTCAATATACAATAAAGGGAGTTGTCAATAGGAATGCAGGCACTAATTAAATTAGCTAAGAACATGCTTCATATGTGAAAACAAGCATACCTGAGTGAGCTAACATACATTTGGCAGCATAAGCTCCCATTTGTCTCGCTTGACTCCATAGCCTCATCTAATGATGTAGGGAGCTATTAATGCATGAGCAATAGTACATGTACTTGAAACCAGGTATTAGGAACTGAGGGCCAGCTAGTAGTACACACATCACCAGCAGCATATACATCTACTGCACTAGTCCTCATCTCCTCATCAACAACCAGGCCTAGATCATCTTTTGATATATCAATCTAAAACAATCATGATGACATAAAAGTAAACTTGTCCATTTTCCTTGTTTCTCTCTTGATATCTGGACATTTCCTCTTCCTTTATACATGTACTTACTGTATCGAGCAGACGGTCAGTATTCGGTATAACTCCAGTAGCTGATACAATAAAGTCAGCTCCATACACTTTACCGTTAGTTAGTTTCACATAAAAGGGCCAACTGGTTTTATCCGAATCGATTGATTCATTCTCTGTTCCTGAGAGTAAAGTCTCCGTGAGAGACAAAGACTTCATCTCCTGTGAATCAAGGAGCCTCTCTACTTCACAATTGTACTCAACATGTACATTCCTTCCCTGTATAAAAGAGAGAGCATTGATCTGTATAATTATTATATACCAAAGCAATAGGATTATAATTAGTATACACTATTACGTAGTTATACGTACAGCACAAACATCGCAGGTACAACAAACACATTTTGATAGAAACAAGTTTACCTTTTCCTTGTTATTCCCAATCATTTTTATACCTGAGCTCCAGTCAGGGCCCAATGCACTACCCATTGCAGTACCACTGGTATCGTCCTTTCCTTCCCCACTGGCACTTTGATCTATTGTACATAAAATAAAAATAAATAGTCACAATAATAATAATAATAATAATAATGTACCTACAGGGTCCAGCAAATATCTCATCCTTTTTAAAGGTTTAGTTTTAACAGTTTCATCAGGGGCTGCTCCTGATCCTCCAGTCCCTGATGCTTCTCCTTGTGTCCTGAGAGAAGGGAGAAAGAAACTGGCAGCTCCTTCATCAAAGAAAGTACTACTGATGCTCGAGTCCTTAACGACCCATAACACCGTGCAACCGCTTAACTCGTAACTGGGATATAACAAGAATAATACAGAGTTTTATGAAAAGCAGGAAATTTCAATTAATGCAAAGATACAATGTGGTAAAAATAAATAAAAAACAGATTTCGTGTTTTGGCAAACTTAAATGTCGAGTGTCAAAAACAAAATACATGTACTAATTTTGGGAAAGGAAAGAAAAATGCGGCAACGTATTGAAATGCATAAACAATCAAATTATAAGAAATGCTTACACAAGTTCTGTAGCTATTCCACCATTCCCAACAATGACAACACGACGTGCTGAGCTTAGCTTATGCTGGAGTGTCTAAAAAATAATCTCATTACTATTAGGCCAAGAATTTACAATTATGACAACTACACATTAGCTAATGAAAAATGAGTGTCCAGCAAATAGCTTCAATACGGAAGTACAAATAATGAGTAATAAAACTGGTATGCGTGCCAGATTTCCAGTAGTAGTATCATGTATCTGTCTAAGTGGAAAAGCATTACAACTCTGTGAGCTGTTTACACTCATACACTGCTATTTGTTATGCTTTAGTAGCAATACAATATTAACGTGTAAATCCCCAGCTTATGCAGGACCATTAAACTTACTCCCACACTCTCTGTGTCTCTTATGCCAATGACATCGTTCGGATGATCCCTGGTGATGAGCTGTTACATATTCGTGAGAAGTGGGTCGCCTAGTGTGTAGTACATGTGAATGATGGTAAGAGACGGCCTGTACTTTGGGACGAGCTCCTAAACAGAGGCAGAGTTTGTGGTAGGACAAGGCTTGACTGTTGTGAAGGTGAATGATCTGTGCACATAATAAAATGAAATAAGAGACCAGTAAAATTTCTCGGTCTCAATCAGAATTTAAAAATTTTATTATAAGATTAAGTTTTAATTCCATAAATGTACATGTAGATGTATCCACATTATAATTAGTTAAGAGGCTTACGTGTTGATCTGGATTGACTGACGTCATGTGTGAATTGATTACAGTTACGTTAGAACAGGACCGGGTTAAATGGCTGACATCTGTCTCTTCGACATCAAATAATTCCAGCGTTCTTGTTACCTACAAGAACACACACATTTTAATTGCACGTACATACACTGTACATAATTTGAGTGGCAGCTAATTATTACAATTACACGTACATGTAGTCTGAGAGAGTACTACTGACATCATTAAATTGATCATTTATAGTAAATTATCATTACGATGCGACGAGCTAAAAAATTAATTACAGCATTAAATTTATCTTAAAAATTTATTGCATTAAAAATACAACACGTGGACAATTAAAGATTCACTACCTTTTGAAAATTGGTGACGGATTTAATGAGCTTTGAGGCACTGACTAACGTTATATGAGCCGTGGGATCCATTTGAGAGAGCTAAAAATATATAATAAATGTTTTAATTCTAATGACTAACCTGCTCGGCACAGGAGACGCCAGCAATACCTCCTCCAACTACAACGTACCTCTTTATTGCCGCCATGTTGTTATTAATGGGCGTGGCCATACAATGAGGAGGTGTGGCATTTTAAGGGTGTGGCTAAATAGCTGTGAAAATGTCTGATGAGCCTCAGAGAACAGAGCTGGTAGAGGGAGAGAATGATGCCAATCAATCTCCTGAAGAACTTGCCAAGTTTGTAAGTTTATTGAAATAATTTAGAGTGTACTTTAATGCTTCATTTCTCTCTGTATTTTCTCTCAAATAGGTGGAAACATTGCTAGGAGATATGGTATAAAGTGAAGCGTTAGTATTATTATTATTGTCATTACTTTGTTCTTATAGCAAAACAAGTTCCAGCAAATGAGCGAACAGATTATTGGTAGACATATCCTTTTATACCATGTAACGATACTGAATAATACGATTTGAATTGGAAAATTCTGAAAGGCTACCATTTATGCATTAAAATAGCATTCATAATTATTGATGCTGTTTCAGCAATGTAATTTGTTGTGTATGCAATTTCTGCCATAGTGAATTCCCTTAACTGATATATGTGTGTGTGTGTATATACTGGATGAAATGGGTAAAAGAGTCGACGATTTAGAGAAGAACATATCCGACCTGATGCAACAAGTGGACTCAAAAGAAGAATCAGGAGGTGGTGGAAAATAAACAAACAAACAAACAATAACAATAATAATAACAAAACTATACAAATAAAATTTAATCATAATTGAAAATTTGAAAAAGAGTGAATTATTTTGGGAAAAGTAAATTGTTGTTGTTTTTTATTCAACATTGCTTTAAGTGTGAATGTTTCTGAAGATATTTCCTAATATATAAAAACAAAGCAATAATAATATGAAAGTTAACATTGTCTTACTTTCTGGCAGCGTTGATCAATTCTTGCTTCCTGGTCTGAAATGAAGGCACGTCGGTTGAACTAAAGTCTGAGCTTTGAGCTCCTTTTCCATTTTCTTCTTCTCTTTCCTTTTCTTCGTTTTTCCCTCCAGTGTCTCTCTGTCTGACAGTTGCTTCATCAATATCGCTAGTGCTGGTGGCCGGTGTCACATCATCCTGATGATCTGCAATGAGACGCATAACCAATGAATTATAATTAGAGCACATGATGATCACAATAATACCGTATAGCGGGAAATTTTGAATTTGGTATTTTGATAGCCATTTGCCAAGATAAAAATCCACCATTTTGAGCCATTATGCGCATGCTCAATGGCGCGTGGCCACAGATTCACTAAATTAAGATTCGTGAATCACCAAAATTTAGCAATTTGCCAAATTTTAGTCCCTTGAAAATTTCCCGCTATACGGTAATCAATAGGTCCTGCTATAAACAGTATACAATGGTCTAAAGCAATAATAATTATGCAACCTTCTGTAGTATTTTGATTTGAGGTCCGAGAGGGAACGAGCCCTGAAAGTATATTATCAACTGTCTGTGAGACCGAGTGTGTATTGGCCAGATCAACTATTATAGCATTAACTGGGACATCGGGAAACATTGTATGGACATGATTAACCTACAAAAAACAAAAATAATAATTTGTAATTCTTGCATTGTCATTACTGAAAATTACAACATGTACATGTAGGTCAAAAACTATAGCTATAACGGTGTTTTAATAACTGAAACTGACCTCCCTGTCCATGTCAGCATTGAATGTGTTGTGATGGTGAGGTGGGGGCTGGTGCAGCTCAAGTGAGAAGGTTGGCAACCAGCTAGCGATTGATGCACCATTAAAGTACAGCAACCAATTCCTACACACGTGCATAATTATACAAGTTTTTAAATAGTATATTTATAATTATTATGTACAATAAATTAATAGCATTTTATACTAACCTTCTTCTCCTTGTTCTTACGCCTGATCTCTGATCTCCTGTGGTCGGTTCCCTTGAGTTTCTTTGGAGAGAAGTGTCAAGAGTTTGACGGCATGTTGGACACACAGGATCCTGTTCCAGCCACGAACGAAGACAGCCGCTAATAAAATATAACACTCAACTATAATGTTAAACTTTAATGCAAGAAATGGAACACTAAATAAATGTGAAGTTAGTGCTCTACAAAAAAGAGTAAATTTATTGTACCCATATTACTTACAAGTGAAAAACGTGGCCACAGGGCAGCTGTCGGGCAGTGTTCATTTTCTCCCAGCAAATAGCACAAGTCTCCTGGATATGCCTTAATTCGTTGGGGCCCACCAAATTAAAGCTACAAGAAAAAAGGGAGACAAAAAAAGGAAAAAGAGACAAAAAAGGAAAGTGAGAGAGTGGATGATTGTGTCTAGGATTGTATTACCTTCTTTCCAAAGTGTGTTTAACCATCACGTAGTTGTGGTGCCTTTTCAATTTGTGCTGTATTTCTTGATAAAGGAAACGTAGCTTCATGAGTAGGATCAGACTAGCCACACTTAGAAACATATTAGCAAAGAGCTATAGGAAGAATAAAAAAAATACATAAAAATTGGGTATTTTGTCGATTGGAAAATTCACACATTTTTAGATTTTTAAGCTGATTCCGACCAAATGAAACTTTTTAAGTTGCTAAAAAATTGGCCAAGGATCATGGGCTATAGTACAGGATTTTTGTCAAAAATAGATAGAAGAGAAATCTCAATTTTTATTACATTTTCTAATACACATTGAAGTCCTTATGCTATTTAAAAAATTTGAGCTGATTCCGACTTAAATTCTTAGAATTATAGGCATTTTTATAAATATGCCAAAATCTAAAAAACACCCTGTACTATAGCCCATGGTTTTTTCAGAAAAATGGCTCCAAAATCACCCCCCATTTTTATTACATTTTTTGATACATATTTTTGTACTTATGCTATGTAGAAAGTTTGAGCCGATTCCGACTTAAATTTTTCGAGTTATGGCCATTTTTAAAAATATGCAAAAATCTGAAAAATACCCTGTACTATAGCCCATGGTTTTTTTGTAAAAAATGGCTCCAAAATCACCCCCCATTTTTATTACATTTTCTGATACATACTGATGTACTTATGCTATGTAGAAAGTTTGAGCTGATTCTGACTTAAATTTTTCGAGTTATGGCCATTTAAAAAAATAATCATGCCAAGTCTGAAAAAAACCCTACCGTAAATCAGTACAGGGTATTTTGTAAAAATGGCTAAAAATCAATTTTTTATCATTTTTTCTAATGCATGTATGCATGTTCTTATGGTATGTAGAAAGTTTGAGTTGATTCCAAATTCTAAAGTTGCTTCAAATTTGGTATGGCCAATAACTAACACTGCACCAGGAAGCACTATACATGCAAAATGTTCATACTAACCAGCATGTGTAGATGATGAAAAAACTGGACAGAAAGAGAACTGATTTCCAACACAAACTCTGCATAATAAGTATAGACATTCCTGTTCTCCCACAATCCTTCATGATGCATGTCCCAAAGGTGAATGATTTGCCTGTTAAAAGAAATTGAAAAGCATGTAAAAGAAATTTACAAAAGGAATGGATGCATAAGGAGTAGATTTTGATGGGAGACATAGTGGCTTACCTAATGAGTGTTAGTAGAGTCAACGTGAACAAGACATATATCTACAAACAGGCAAATAAAGCAATAGTTAAATATGATACAGCAAAGTTATTAGTTAAGCTCAGAAAAAGACAAAAATTAGCAGTGTATTAACGTAATGCAGTTTCAATATTGTTATACTTCAGAGAATACGAAAGCAAAGTAATTAAAGCCAAACTGCCAGCCAATGATGGCACAGACCATGAAGAGACCAGCACATGAGACTAATATACAAGAAAGGAACATTATCATCTTAGCATGGGACGAAGATGGAGTAGAAGGAGAAAATGATAACTACAAAAAAGAACAAAAAAACAATCATTTATAAAAAGCAAAGCGGTAGGGCAACGAGACTAGTAATTGGCATCCATTCATTTACTCATACGATTGATTTGCTCAATTATATTATAGTAGTGAAATGCTTGGAATTATTAGCTCACGTAAAGAAAGCGGTCCTTGCAAAGTTGAGAGGTTAATAAAAAGCAGCCGATCAGAGCAAACCAGGAGCACCAAACTAGCATCTCACGTATCTCTTGAATGTTGAGGACTCCAAAAATGAATATGAACTTGTAAAATACGAAATTCCAAAATTTGTCCTGCAAATGCTACACAAGAAAAAGAATAGAATCATTGAGATTACACACCATTGTGTACATGCATAGACAAATGCGTGGAAATCTCTTTTTATTATTGCTAAAATATTATATACATGTACGTGTACATGTACACATAAATGCATGTACATGTACAAATAAACTACTTACTCTCTTCTCTGTGCTACGAAGAGTTCCAAAAACTGATTTATGTAGAAAACTCATTAACTGGAAGAACAGGCAACATACAAAATTAACAACAGCCTACACAAAACAATTAATAATCAATCAATAAAAGATGACTCTAAACTCCCATTAACTCACCGTAGCACACCACGCATCATCCCACAAGGCATTTACAAAGTTGCTGTCTGATGCTGTGAGGACATACGCCACTGCATAAAAGAGTCCTAGCCCACTAAACACTGTGTACATCTGAAGACTGGGTAGTGGTAGGGTGTCCATTGTTAATTGAATAACAAACCACACCCACAATAGTTATAAATAATTAATGTTAAAATTAATCACACACACACGCACACGCACACACACACACACACACACACGCACACACACACACACACACGCGCACACACAGAGTCATTGTTGTTAAAAAGTTACTACATTACACATCATATTGCTGTTGAAAGATATTTAGATTTGGATCTAATTGAGGCTTTTGATACTATTGGTATATATTTTGACCCTTCTCCTCTTTTTTTGCAGGAACTTTTGATTTTTTTCAAGATGTAGAATGCAATCCAGACCATTGGGATGTAAACAAGAATGTACTGGATAATAAAAGCAGTGAGTGAGAGATCCTCCATAGCCATTGAAAGAGCATACTGGTATATTGAGATGCTGTTGATTATTATGATCAGCAAAAATATGAAACCATCAATACTGTTGTGCTTGTCTAACTTGTATGGTCGTAAAAGCAAGAAAACTGCTGCCATGAGTACAGCTAGTAATTGCTGTATAATTGCCTGCATCAAAAAGTTAGGAGACAAAACAAATGCAACAGAAAGAGCTACTCTTAAAAGGAAATAGAGTCCTGGAACCCAACGTTTGTCATAAATCCATTTATTATAAAGCCATTTAACCACAGCAGTTTTATTTGGTCCAATACTTTCTCTGTCAGGTGATTTGAAATCTTGCTGAAATGAAGCAAGAAGAACATTAAAAAATGGCTGTCCTTTTTCTACATCTGGATTATGTCGATGGAAAAGAAGCAATGCAGGTACTGGCAATAGAAAACCAACAAGAATGATCAAAGCAATTATCATATATGTGATGTGATGGCCTTGTCCATATTTAGTAGACCCATCAAAATAAGGGACCGTAGTTACAGCATGACCACTATTATCTCTTAAATATGTTGGATTGAGAATGTATAAGGTGTTCAATGTACAGCGTGTATAAGCAAGAATAATGCATGAGGAGAGAATGTTCCTTAAAGCTTCCTTTTGTTCCACTTTTGACTTCCAAAACTCATAAAACCTAATACAAGCATTAACTTTCAAGCGACACTTGAAGTTTATCCTGTTATCAAGAAGGAAATATACATAAATTATTCCAACAAAAATCAATGGAAGAACTGCAACAGCATACTCCCAAACAAATATTGTGTTTATAGATAAATTTGGTGCCAAGCAATATTTGATAGGCTCAATAAAGTCCAAGTTCCATATACTGTAAAGCACACTGTACGCTGTCAGGAGTATCTTGGTGTTTGTATCTGATTTTGTTATACTATTAATAGGGATGTCTCCATTTCCACTGATATCCAGTGAAGTAGTAATAGTCTGTGCAAAGAATATAGCACCATTTAGATTACCTGAGGCAAGATGGAAATTAGTCAACAGTAGAATTAAAAATAATAAGACAACAGGAAGGAGTTGTGTCAGTATTACATATATCCAAGTATAACGATAAGTTTTAGCACTACAGTCAAGGCATTCAAAATTAAGAATATTAAGAGCAAATGAAGCATTTTGACATTTTGTACAAAGAACACCTTGCTTATCGCCACCACAAAGTACATCATTTACTTGTTCAAATGATGACGGCAACGTAATAAATCCATTAATAGAATTGGTTATACGAGCAGCACAAAACCGACAGCGACCAACAACTACAGAATCAGTATAATTAGAATATCCAATCCAATGCCTTGTTCTAATCAGTGCTGTAAAATTATTTAGACAATGAATGATGCCTCCACCAAAACTACTTTGACTGCATTCACAAAGACCAGAAAATGGACTTAAGAAAAATCCTGGAGGACATGGCAGGGCTATGACTGGTACTCGTATTTCTAATACACGAGGAAATGTTGTTCGTAGCTCAACAGTATCAGTTAGATTGCTGCTGGCATTTGAAAAAGATGATCCTGATAATACTTGTAGCTTAATGTGGTCATCTGATACATACTGAAAATAGTCGGCAACTTTAGTTTGTGATGTATTCTGTGCTATGACAAAGTATGAGTTTACAATGTTGTTGTTATCATCAGTAGCATTGAGATTCATCAGTGTGACATTACCAGGAGGTGTGGCTACTTTGTCGTAAGATGATTTAAATTTAATCAAGGCTGGCAGTGTCTTCACTTCTTGTTTGCACTCAGTGTTAGGCCCAAAATTCCATTGAGGGTTACAAAAAAGCAAAGAATTTTTATGATACTTACAAAAGTTAATATCCGTTGAAAATATGGTGTCATTTATTTTATTGCTGTTTTCTCTGAAAATAATTGTCACATTCCATTTATTAGGTGAAACCATCTTATTCCTGTATCGAACAAAGCAATCAAAAAACATAGAGTCTTTATATTGTCTAGTAATAAAGGCATAAATTGCACTGCCATAACCAGTAGCATTATTACCAGTAAAATTAAGCGTAACATTTCGTGCTAAAATGAGTACAGAGTCACCAATCAATGATAAGGCTCCACCATCATTACCTGAATTGGAAACAAATACACCAATAGAATCTTTTTCAAAGTTCACCTTGCCATTAATTGCGTATACTGCTGTCCCAACATTATTAGTGAAGTTAATTTGTTTAAAATGAACAGAAACAGACTCAATATAAAAAGTGCCTCCTGTAGAGTGAATACTTTTTCCAAGCAATTCTGTTTTAAGCTTCGTGTTGTTGTAAAATGTACATGAGGTAAAGTGTGGTTGAGGAATAACTAGCGTATTAAATAAGGCAAGAACCCATGATGACATGGTAATAGCACTACCAGTATTGGCAATATTAGAAATCCACCGAGACTCAAAAAATATAAACTGATTGCTACCGTGGTCTGCAATGAGTGACAAACCTCCTCCAAAAGTGGCATTATTATAAATGAAATGAGATTTGACTATAGTTATGTTATTCCTTTGAGGAATTGCATCATCTTTGTATGAGACTTGCAGCCTGACTCCACCACCTCCTTGAATAGCATTGTTTTGGAAAAAAGTTGTATTGCTAACATCAATCAAATTGTTTGTAGCATTGCTAGTTATACTGACGAACATGCCTCCACCATAAATGCCTCTATTGTAATTAAACTGGCAGTCACGTATTATGAAACTATTATTTTCTGCATCATTTTCGATGCTAATCATAAGTCCTCCACCAATATCGTAATGACTTTCATTAGAAAATAAAAATATATGCTTGGTAATGTCGCTATTCCCTTTAGTAAATTCGAAGACGGTGCCTTCTATGATAGTAGTAGACCCTGTTATAGATTGCAGAATGAATACCATACCAAAAGTATTGCCTGAAAAATTTGAGGAGGCAATATTGTTGATACCTAAAGCACCATCGAAGAATACAGACAAGCCCACACTATTGAATATATTAACCGATATCAGAGATACGTCAAAACACTGAAAAAATTGTAAAGTAGCATTCAGTGGCTCATTTGCTGTTGGGGGTTCAGATAATTTTGCACCACACTCTTGAAAAGATATGTTTATTAGTGAAACATTATTGCAAGCTTGAAACAATAACCCTCCTTGTTCATGGCAATCAAAAACTACCTCGCCCATCCTTCCTTCAATCATCACGTCCGATACACGAATAAATGCAATCACTGGCAAGTTGTAAGTCCCAGGATAAATTACGAACCTGGTATTGTTAGAGAGGCGATATTTATCAAAAGCCATTGACAAATTAGTAAAAACCGAATCACATTCTGAATCATGACCACCTTCATGCAGATCCACACATATGACATACTCTTCTTCGGCTGCCAATGAGGAAGTGATAAATAATACCAGGATTAAAATCCTAATACAGAAAGCCATCACCTGAATAAAAAATTAACATAAATAAGCCAGCTATCATCTGATAAAAATATAAGATCTAGTTTCAGTTTCAACACATGCCAAATTCCACTTGTTATATAAATCAGAAAATTATATCTAAACTAATTCAATGGCACTTAGATCTAATGCTGTAAATAATTACAAGTACAACAGGAGCTTTGGCAATCATAAATTTACAGATCTATGCCTAGTCTCGCCACGACCCTTCGCTACCTGCGAGACTAATCTATGCCTCAAACCATAGATACGCTCAAACTAGATTTATAGTCAAGTCTGAATGGGTGGATCTGGATCACTAAAATCTAGCTGGTCTAGAGTGTACATTAAAAATAATCAAGCTCTAAAATATCAATGATTACTTACAAGTTAAAGGTTTGAAATTTGAAACTGTGATGAAGATATGGTTATGAAAGGGCCGCAATGAATAAAAAAGTAAAAAATTCCTTAAAAGGTGTGTTTAACACGCCTATTTTCAGAAATTCATAGCTATTAGCCAAGCATAGCTAAGCACCTCGGATCAGATCAGTATGATTAGCATGTCTTTTCGCTACCTCGTTAGTTCTTTCTCTCTCTTACTTTGCTTTGGGTTTATCGCATCTGATGAGTTCAATTGTCCTCCCCTCCCTCCCCTGGCTCGTCCAGCTCAGTCAGTCCACGAGCTCAGGCCTCAAGACATTAAAGTGGTCATGACACTGGGAGACAGTGTAACTGCTGGTATATAATGTATTGTAATGGTATTTATTATCCAATTGATTGATTACAGCATTTGCAGCAATGGGACGACAAGATGGCATTAAAGATTTATATGAATTTAGGGTGAGTTTAGTAATGCAATTCCTAAGAATTGAACTGTGCTGTGTTTAAGCTGAAGCTGATTACTTAACTATCGTTTACACCTTTGCTAAGGGTAGCCCCACCCAATGGCAAAAAGAAATATTATTGTTATTGTTATTCCTGTTTTTGTTAGGGTATTTCATGGTTCATTGGTGGAGATCCTAATGCTCAGACAATTTTCTCATTTCTCCGTCATTATACTCCCAATATAATAGGTGGCAGTCTGGGATCGCATTTTGTCGAGGTATGGACTATAATTATTCAAAAAGGTTGTAATGAGTGTATTTAGTTGTGCTATGGTCCAATTTGCCCTCCTGATCAGTACAGACCCAAGCAAGATGTCTTTAATGCTGCCCAGAGTGGAGCCATGGTCCCTAACTTAAAGAAACATGAGTTTACATATCTTTATGAGCAACTGACATTAGTAAATATTGTTTTTGTAATCATTTTTGTGACGCTTGCCTCATATAGAATCCATCTGTGAATATGAGAGATGATTGGAAGCTTCTATCAATACTGATTGGTTTTAATGATCTTTGCATAGGGTGAGCTAGTGTACTGGCAATGCCAGTGTGTTTGTTTATTGTCACATGATAGTCAGACTACTTTGATGTTTATTATTACTTGTTGCAATTTTGCGTGGATAGCATGTTTATAGAAGCAAGTTTATGATTGTATTACATTGCAGGTGTTCCGGTGATGTCCCTTATATCACAGCTGACGATTTCGAGACTAATCTGCGTTCTGTCATTGAAGAAGTCCGCTCAAAGATCCCAAAAGTTTTTGTGAATTTGGTGGAGATATTCAATATGTCAATGGTGAGGCATTGATTGTTGATTTAAATATTATATTATTATTGAAACTTCTTAAAGATATATGAAAAGTCAAAGACAATGCCTCATTGTGAGGATATTCATCGACTCCTTCCCATAGAGTGTTTGTGCGTCTTTTTAGAAGGAAAAATTGGCGATGATACAAGGTTGAGGATTTCTATAAGTATATTTGACTGATTTATTGTGTTTTGTAATAGGAGAGACATTGATAATTATGCTGCTAAATATAATGAAAGATTGAGGAAGGTTTGTTTAATACAAGGGGGAAGTGCATTTTTTTAATATAAAGGTTTTACATTAAACACTTAATGTTTTAAATTGGGCCTTGTTGATAGTACATTATATACCATAATGAATTATTTCATTGCTACAATTGTAAAGCAAGCATAAACTTCTGGTTTACTAAGCAATACACTGACTGGTTGCTTTAGTAAGGTTGAAAGATGATAAACAATCATTTATGTCTTTTATGTTGTTATCATAACAATATAATGTCTTGTTCCAAATAGTTAGCTAAAGAATACAGTGAAAAGAATTACCAAGATTTTGCCGTTGTTGTTCAGCCTGGCATTCGAGATGGTACTGCTAAAAACACTCCTATTGACTTTATGTCTGATGTAAGCATCTTGTAATGACTTTAAACACTTTTACGATATGTTTTAAGGTTGATTGTTTTCATCCATCTCTCGTGGCCCACCAGGCTTTTGCTAAAGTCATCTGGAATAACCTACTTACTCCAGCTGCTCAAAAAACATCTAATTTTGATTTTAAGGCCCCCTTCGTGTGCCCCACTAATGCCACACTTATTTATACAAACTGATTTTTAGTTTCAGATTCAATGTTTATGTTAAGCTGTTTTGCTGGTTTTTATGCGTATGTTTCTATATACATGCATATTATATATTAAGAGTTTTGACCGTAAAAGTCAAAACTGAATGAGAGGAATATGAAGCTGCTAGCTACTTTAGCTCTCTGCCTTTGCTTTAGTATTGGACCTGTTCTTTGTGGCAATGAGTTTAATTGTTCTCCACTCCCTCCCCTGGCTCATCCAGCTCAGTCAGTTCAAGAGCTGAGGCCTCAAGACATTAAAGTGGTCATGGCTTTTGGTGACAGCATTACAGCAGGTATATGTAGCAAGTGACATTTAATAATTCTATTCTGTGGTCTAGGTTTTGCAGCAATGGGCTTTAACATAAATTTATATAAAGACCTGCTTGAATACAGAGTAACTTATTTGTGTATTTGAGGAATCCATCTTGTAGTTTTACTATACACATTTACTTTTAGGGTATTTCATTTTCAATAGGCGGTGACCCAAATTCCACTACAATACCATCTTTCTTAAAACACTATAATCCAGACCTTATTGGGGCTAGCTTAGGATCTCATGTCGGTGAAGTACGTATGTTCAGACATCAAATCAGTATTATATGCTCTTATTATTATTTAGTTTTGCTCTGGAAGGACATGTTTCCCCAAGTATTATGTACCAAAACAAGATGTTTTTAATGCTGCTCAAACCGGAGCCCCAGCAGTTGTCCTCAAAGGGGTCCAACTTCCATATCTGCTCGATCAACTCAGAAATGTAAGATTCATATCAGGTTTATCATAATCATGTGCTAATTATTATCAATTAATAGAATCCTTCTGTTGATATGAAGCAGGACTGGAAGCTGCTGACAATTCTAATAGGTTACAATGACTTGTGTGATAAGTATGTATTAGACTATATAGCAATGCCTTTTAATGCTCTCACTGTAGATGTTCTGGAATAAATATAACCATTGAGCAACTTGAGTCGGATTTACGTGGAATTATGGAAGAGATACGTTCAGATATTCCACGAGTGTTCATTAACTTGGTGGAGCTATTCAATATATCACTGGTATGTAGCATGACTGTCTGCATGAATGCCGCTAAAGCAAACATTATTTGTATACACTCCAAAAGGTATATCAGAAAAACAAACACAAAGACTATTGCCTGAATATTCATAAATTATTTCATATGGACTGTCAGTGTTTGTGGACAGGGACTGATGAGGATCGGCAAATGATGGATGACTATGCTATGAAATTCAATGATGTGATGAGAAAGGTAAAATCATCATCAATTGTAATATTTAAAAAAAATCCAGGCTTGATTGGAATCAGCTTAAACTTGATACACAGCATAAGAATATGTTTATGCATCAGAAAAAATGAGAAAAATGCAAAATTTCCTCCTAGTCCTGTTGACAAAATTTGGCTTGAGACCAAAGGCTATAACCCTTTGGTCATTGGCCAAATTTTTGAGCAACTTTAGTATTATGTTGCAATATATCTACTGCAGATTGCTAAAGAATATCATACCAAGAATTACACAGACTTTGCTGTTGTAAGTCAACCTGCTCTTTCAAATACTGAATTAGACCATATCCCTGATGACTTCTTTTCAAATGTAAGCATAATAATAACTTTTTATTTCATTTGATTATTTCACAAATTTAGTTGGACTGTTTTCATCCTTCTTTAAAAGCCCACCAAGCATTTGCAAAAGCTTTATGGAACAATATGTTAACTCCATCAATGAATAAATCGACTGGTTTTGATCCCAATGCTCCTTTTGTTTGCCCTACTAAAGAAACACTGCTTTATACATATTAATGTACACAACTGTAACTGTTGCCTTATTTTAGATCCTTATTGTCTTGCTTTGAATAAAAATTTTGATATCGTTAGTATTTATAATCACACAAAAATAATATAGCATAGTTACTTTTAACAGAATATATGTACATTTAGTCATCGCTTCGTTGATGAACAATCGTTTCCAACAAATCTTTCAATTCCTCATGCTGCTGCTGATGAAGCTTCTTTGCTTGAGCTATCTCTTGTTGAAGGCAGTTGATATACAGCTGCTGTCGCTCTAAAATCTTTTCTAAATTTGGTGCTTCCCCTTCATCCGAGGACTTCAAGGTACGCCAGAAATATCGCCAGATTTTTCTAATCACAGAAACCGGCTTGTTTGGGGAAATGTTATGAAATCTCTTGTCATAGCGTCGTATGACAAATTTAGGAAGCCATGGCTCTATCCTGGTAAATATTCTGACTTCAGTTGAGCGCTGCTTCAGTAGTGCATTCCTTCTAATAGTTTCAATATCTCCAACTGCTAGACCAATGAGAAGGTTCATTACAGCAACAGCAAGTATAGCAGCAGAAAGAAGGACAAAAATGTATGTTAGGCCAGAATGGGCAAGGGAGTCATTATCAGATCTTCTCACGTATACTTCGTAATTGATTTCACCGAGAAGATACGAGAAAGTTGTGAAAAATGAGTCCCCAATGCTTCCAAAAGGAGGAATGTCTCCAACAAGGATAAATAGAGCAAAGGCAAAAGCAATGATGAAGAGAGAAGCCACAAGTAATGCTTTGAAAAGAGATGACAAGACCTCCAGAAACATAGTGACATACACTCCAAACAAATCAAACGGTTTTAGGAACAAGCCAATAGAAAACCAACCTGAAAATATGGCGATGGCTCCAGCCTGCCAGAAAACAAAAGCAAAGCCAAATGTATGAAACTTCCATGGTATAAGGAAGGCGTATGTCGAACCTATTGTTAGCCCTTCCATCCATATTAATTCATGCTTGAGGATGTTCACAGCTCTAAGCCTCAAAGAGAAGACATTTCCCAACCATATCATGGTATCAATGAAGCAAATGGCTAGAGTAATAAAACGAATAACTGTTGAAGATGTTGTAATCTCAGTAAGCAGAGTTGCATTAGAAGCAGATGAGATGACTTCCAATGTCACATCTGTGATATTCAATCGAGGTGGGGGAGTAAGTATAACAAAACTGGAGAGCAGTAAAACTTGTAAAACAAAGAAAAACATGTGCGTACCATAAATGATACGACCGTATCCTCTCCACTTTATTTTTAGGTATTGACGTACAACAGGATGAGTGAGTAGGGACACACGATTGAATGCAAGCATCCTCTTCAACACCTCCATGCTAGAATAACTTCTAGTGGCAAAAGCAACTGCTAGATTTTCACTATGCTTACTCTTGTATTTGATATTGAGGGACTGCATCATGTCCCCATCATTCTCTTCAAACAGAGGAACTTTCTCTTCATTCTTTTCAATATCGTCATTACGTCCTGGCTCGACATTATTGTTGTCTAGTCGAAGGTACTTGAAATCAAAGCGCTCGAAATACTCAATGTGCTCTTTCGGTTGAAGGCCTTTCTGATGACAACGATCCAGGACTTCTTCTGCTATCTCTGGCATCGTTTGTATGAGCTGAATAAAGTAATGGGGCCTGCTTTCACATACAGGGAAATCGAGGCATTCATGCCAACGGTCATGTTTGATTACTGTACGTGCAGCAATTACGTTCCCTGACTTTATAATCTCATCTAGAAAAGTGTTGTTGTTACTTTTTCTTGTGATTGGTATATCGAGATCAAGACAGAGCTTCAGCACTTTAGGAGAACCACTTGCTACAGCTAGATGCAGTGCAGACTCACCTTTATCAGACAGCATGTTCTTTTGGAAAGGATGGGCCTCAAATAAAACTTTTGCACACTCATAGTGCCCCTTGTAAATGGCACCGTGGAATGGTGTGTATCCATAGTAGCACTTGTGTAGCATGGCACCAGCACTCAATAGGATCTCAATACATTGAAGGTGGCCTTGCATTGCTGCTTCATGGAGAGGTGTTGCACCAATAGATGAAACCTCGTTAAGCATATTACTAGCAAACGAACTGTTTAAGAGGATACGCAATGCTTTCCAGTTGCCACTTCGAGCTGCTAGATGAAGATAATTTAATCCAGAGTCATCCTTGACGTGTGGTATGTGAGGCTGCATAGCTGTAACTAGCATAGATACATAGTCACCAAGACTATCTGTCAAAGCGTAATGCAATGGGGTGCATTTCTTGTTATCTTGCTGACTGACAAGGTCTTTAGCGCATGGAGAATCATTTAAAAGGTAATGCAATATTGCCTTTCTCTTTCGAAGTACAGCTAAATGAACTATATTCCGACCGGCGTTATCACAAATGGATGAGATGCATTTATCAACTGCAAGTATTTCCTGAGTGGACTCTAAACTATTGTGCATTATTGCTGCATGTAGAGCTGTATTTCCGTCTCTACTAACAAGCTTTGGATTAGCTCCCTGCTGAACGAGATAATTAATCACTTGGCCGCCGTGAATTGATCTAGCAGCCCAGTGCAATGGAGTCTGGCCATCGGAGCAAGTTGAAAAAACAATGTCTCGGCCACAATGTTCAATCATTGCTTGAACAATATCTATTCGACCTTGATAACAGGCAAGGTGTATGGGAGGGATTTGATCTCCATTAACAACAGTGGGCGAGGCTCCATATTTAAGCAGGACTTTAACAATATTTAAGTGACCTGCATCTATAGCTGCATGCATTGGAGTGCTATTCTCCTCATCCAGAAACTGTAAGATTAATTCAACGGGATATCCGTGTCGAGAGCAATTTTGTATCATGAAATCAAGGACCTTAGACGAGCCACAGCGAGCAGCAAAATGAATGGGAGTGAGCTTGTCTTCATCAGCAGCACACAAACGAAATGAATTCTTGTCCTTGAATGCTTGAACAGCTAGAGAACAGTTATTGAATGCATCGACAATGTCAACGTAATCAAATTCTGCTGCTATGTGTAGTGGTGTACGTTTTCTGTAGCCTGGCACAACAATATCAATGTTAGTGTGCTCAAGAAATGCTTCAACTAGGTGCTTGTTTGCACTACGTACTGCAATGTGAAGAGGTGCATCTTGATTGACATTACAAATAGTGTCATCAGCATTGTTATTAATGAGAATGTGAACAGACTCTATGCACTGATTGATGACTGCTACATGCAATGCCGTGTTGCCTTCTTTATCCACTGCATTCAATGGGACTCCACTTTCAATGAGGTAGAGCATTGTATCTATCTGATTGCCACTTGTAGCAGAATGCAGTAGCGTTTCACCTTTAGCACCTCTGGTTTTTAATGAGAGACCAAATGTATCAATCCTAGTACGTAGGATGCTCAGCTCGCCCTCAAAAGCAAGCTCGTGTGGTGATTTGTTGTCATACTCGCTAGCGAGATGAATGAGCTCTTCACTGAACTCTTTGCTGCTTTGACGAGACCGCTTCTTACGGACACCCTTTGCTTGCTGCTGCCAGTTAGTAACAATACGTGCAGTGGAGGGAAAGTCCAAAGAAGTGCCTGAAGAGGGGACTGGAGCATCACTCTCTTCTTTGGCAGCCATTCTTGATCCTTGAAAATATGTGTAAAAGGTCCCAAAGAAAGTATATAGCTTGCAATCGCATCATTTGCAAGCTGTATATCACAACTGATAGCTCTGGAAAGGAAGGTGCCATCAAAGCTGCCATAATTAGCTAGTTAGATAATTAATTAAATTTAGACACGCCCATTCAGTTTTTTAATTTTAACCCGTTACACAGTCACGTGATTTGTGTTTGGACCGGAGAGAGGAAAAGGTACATTTTATTTCATGTTTTTTGTTACTTTTTAGTTACTTTTAGATGTCTTTTTGGGATATGAAGTTCAGAAACCTTGGGGGGTGGGTCATAAACTTCCTTAATCCAGTCACTCTTCCTTCAAGGACTGTCCAGGGATTCCACGCATACAAAGCCAAATATATATTACCCAGGAATGCTGGAATAAGGCCATTCTTTCATGTTGTGGGTGTGGCAATGTTGTTGAACTATATGATCGAGTTTAGGCACCTACGGAAACACGAGATGTTTCGCAAGTATCATTAGACCTAGTGTATGGAAAACTGACTAGAACTAGACTATAATAATGATAGTTTTGATCATTGTGTGATGATCAATATTAATATTATTAATAAAGATATTATACAGTATTGTAGCTGTATCAATTACTAAGGTGTATAGATTCTAATTGCCATAATGTAATAATAATAATATGCACTTGTTGTATAGTTTGTTGCTCAAAAAATTGTCATAAATATAATTATTTATAACTTAGTTTTTTCTTCTGAAAAGTAGAGAGCGAAAAGAAGGTAGACTTGTCAACATTTTATTGAGAATTGATAGCTTGCATGATTGTAGTCTAGATGTTGTTTGTTTTTCTTTTGTCAAGGAGAATTCATTATGACTTCACTGCATGTGATGCAAGGCCACTGTGTTTACACCATTAACATTAGACCTAAATTATTCATGGACTGTTGGTCTGCGTTGCTCTTTGACATGATGACTCTTTGAAGTATCAGGGCGTGGCTCAGCTCTGACCTGCACTGCGAGACAGCTCATTCTGAAAGATGAAAGTCTTGTCTTTCTTGCTCCTATGCTTTATTGCAAGCACACAGTGTCAAGGTAAGTCCATGGTTCCTTTCAATGGCTGCATTTCTTTTTGTACATTCTCCAGTTGAAATTGATGGTCCTAGCGTTGTAAATGCACATGTGTTCGAGAATAGTAATGCAGGCAAGTTTGAAATTTAAGCACGCAGGTCAGATTACAGTTGCACATGTTTATATGCAGGGACACAAGTAGTGGACTTCCACGTAGCAGGAGAGTCTAGTGTAACGTGGTCCCTAAACAGCACAAGCAACTTTACTATCAACAGCCAGGGTGTGGTCAGTGTAGGTGATGTCCTGGATAGAGAAGTGAGTGAAACACTTTTAAAAAATTTATTTTAGTTTATTTGCATTTTTATTTTTAGGCAACACTAGCACCCCATGTCATCACTCTTACAGTGACTGCAGCTGCTAATGCTTCAAATGTAAGTTCAATCCAAGGTGTTTATGATTATGATACGTTGGTTGGGTCATGGTTGGGTTAATTACTGTTGTTCCAAACATTATTATTTTTAACTTTCAATAGGATTCAGTTGTACTGGTCATCACGATTCTAGACAGGAACGATAATGCTCCAATCTTTGAAAACCCAACGTCTAATGGGACTCACGATCTTATCACGTTACTTGAGGTACGTGAGAGCATTAACTATCAGTAAAATAGTTTAAACATGTTAACAGTCGGAGCCTGTTGGTGGGATTGTGTACACTATACTGGCATCTGATCCTGACTTTAGCTCTGCCGGAAACTTTCATTTTGTTCTCACAAATCCAGTTAGCTATGCATGCAGTCAAGTTCATTATTTAATTTATAAAAATATTTAATTATTTTAGGATGGATATTTTCTTGTTGGCTATTTGACTGGTGACATTGAGCTTCACAAGAAATTGGACTATGAAACACAAACCACTCACACTTTGAATATACAAATTCAAGTAAGAATTCAACCGGATCTTATCTAATTCTTTTGTTTATGTATTTTAGGATGAAGGACAGCCATCCCTTAGTACTGCAATCACAATAACAGTCAATGTCACCAATGATGAGGAATCAGCTTGTGTCTTTGGCCAGAAATTCTATTATTCTACTATTCCTGAGGGCCATTACTCTTCAATGGTAAATAATATGCACAATATTACATAAATATATACATTATTTTCTATATAGACTCCTTCTACCATTACAACAGTATCAGCTACTGCTAGCACTGGAACTGTTAGATATTCTCTCACTACCAATCGTATGCACATAATGTCATTTTACTTATTATGATTGGGCATATATTATTGTTTTAGCTTCTAGTTTGTTCAGTATTGGCACTACTAATGGAATCGTTACACTTGCTGGGTCTATAGACAGAGAAACTATCTCAAGATACATTGTATCAATATCTGTAAGCTTAGGATAATAGCTAGAGCCTGAACTTAAGATATATTTATAAATAGGGTCAAGAGTATTTATCTAGTGGTGTTATGGCTGACTCTCCTCCTTGCTATGCAACAATTGTCCTGACAGTATCTGATATCAATGATAATTCTCCTACATTCTTTTCTGGTACTTATTCTGGTACAGTTAACGAGAATATTGAGCTAGGACACATTGTCATTGCTACCATTAGTGCCTTTGATCTTGATCTGGTAAGACTAAAAATGGTTTCTCTAGTCTTAATAATGTTGCTTTAATACTATAGGGCACTAATGCTGCTTTTATGTACAAGATACGTGATAGAGCCATAGGAGCTGATAATAAGTTTCAGATCCATCCAACCACTGGTGTCATTAATGTAACAGGAGAGTTAGACTATGAATCACTCTCTGATCCAAACTACCAATTTACGGTAAGATATTAACTACCTTTTTGAATCCTAAACCTCTTCTCCTTCTCACTCTCTCTCTCTCTCGTATCAAGATTGAAGCATTCGAGCCAGCTAGTGTGTCTAACCCAAAAAGTGGGACTGCTACAGTAACTGTACACGTTAACGATGTCAATGATCATACTCCATACTTTCATGCCTCAAATTATTCATTTACACTTTATGAGGAACAACCACTGACCTCATTCACTCCATTATTAACAGTAAGACCCTGCTAAAGTAATATTAAGAGCCAATGTACATGTCATTATTAATAGGCTAGTGATGATGATGCTACTAGTTTGTATAACACACTCTCATTTTCACTCAATGGATATGGGGCTGTACAGCCTAACCTACAGTCAGTCATTAATTAGACTATCCCTGTCTTTATTATTACCATTATTAGTTTCACCCTCAACTCAGCACCAGGATCAAATAATGCACAGCTATCAACTCTCACAATGCTGGATAGAGAGTCAGTCAGCTCTTACCACATGATTGCTACTGTGAGTGACAATGGAGCATCCCCACTAACTGACACTGCTGATATATTTGTTACTGTCATGGACATTAATGATCATCCTCCTGTCTTTGATCTCCCTGGATACAGTGTTGAGATAGCAGAGGAGAATACATACAGCTCATGCTTAACAGTCCACGTAAGCTAGCTAGCATCTGTATTAATTAATGTAGGCTTTCTCTCGATGCATCATAGGCTGAAGATACGATTGATGAAGATGGTCCCAATACTCAAGTATCTTATAGTTTTATAGTACACAGTGCCAGTCCTAATACAAGTATTGCTGGCCTTCAGACTAAGTTTATACTAGACAGTGGCAATGGTCAAATGTCATGTCTTGCTATAAATCATGAGTATGGATATCATAATATCATCCTCCAAGTGACTGCCTCTGATGCTGGAACTAATCCAGGGCCACTCAACTCAACTGTATTTGTCAATGTGACGATTGAAGTGAGTAGCTAACAAGCTTAACAATTGCATTTGTGTCAGATAGAATTGCTTCAAAAGAATTTAAATTTTATGATATGCTTAGAAATTTGAGCTGGTTTTGATCAAAATTGGATTTTATATAAATTTTCACAATGTTGCAGCAAATTTTAACAAAACTCCCTGTACATGGTCTTGAAAAAAAGAGGGTACTCAATTTTTATAATATAAGCTGATTTTGATCACAATTAGATTTATCAAAAATTTTAAAAGTTATTCAAAAATTAGACCAAGGTAGGATCATTGGCTAAACTTTGCCAAAAATGACTAGAAGACAATTTTTTATTTAATACTATTTTCTGATACATATACATGTTTTTATGTCATGTAGCAAGTTTGAGTTGATTCTGATTGAATTTAGATTTTTTATGAATTTTTAAAGTTACTCAAAAATCAGGT